CTGGCAACTACGCGAAAAATGTTGACTGGCACGCCGGCGCAAAGTGCTGAACTATCATGGCGACTGTTGTTTTGTTTTGGAAATTGGTGAATTTCGGAGGGCGAAAAGTGGTGGAAAACGGCATTTAATCGAAAAATTTATATGGAAAATATTGTTTGTTACGAGATTTTCTATAAGCTGAGCATAGTATTAATCGAAAAAGCGGCAATCCTAGTACCAGGTCGTAGCGTAAAGCATTACCAAAAAATGAGTGACTTTCCGAGTATCTAGACTTTGAGAAGTTGACTCCCAAAAATCTTTCACATATTGTAGAATTGATCCGAATTAAGATTACGACGATTACATTATTATTATTATTATCTGCAGCCGATTCTACCATTTCGGACGCCATCTAAAGCTCGATCAGCCATGTTTTGTTGGACTCCTTGTACCCACGTAGTTGTCGGTCTTCCTCTTCTTCTGTTTGGGGGTGTGTACTTTAGGGCTCTTTTGGGCCATCAGTCTTCTCCAATTCTCATCATACCATATTAACTGTTTTGTTTCTATTTGTTGCCAGCCTGTGAACACGCTTCCTGTCGTTCGTCTGATTTCTTATGTGTTCTGTTCTGGATCTTTTGCATGCTTTTCTTTTGAAATCCATCTCCATTGCGTCAACCGTTTTTTGTCTTTAGCAAAGAGCGGCCAACAATACAACTGCAAATTGCAAATTTGAACTGATTTTTTTGTTTTTCGGTTATTTTTGCGCACAAATTATCAAAATCGATTTCTAGACAACCCGGTTATTTAACAGATGGGCAAGCAGATTTCAGCCCTCGATGCGGCAAGTTTTCCTTAATAAACGCCTGAAAAATTGTTTTACGTACGCATAATTCGGCGTTTCAAAACAATTTTTTCAACTTTGACAAACTTTTTGCTTTCCGGTCATGTTTGCACCTCAAACCATCTAAGTCGATTTTTGAAAAAAGCGATTAAATTTCGACAAGTCGGTTTGAGCAGTTGATTAAGAAGCTTTTTATTGACAAATTTGGTAAATTTGGTTGCATTGACTTAATTCCGGGTTTTAAGAAGAATTTCTGAACTTTGACGACATTTTACTTTTCGCACATTTTTTCACTTCAAATTATCGAAGTCGATTTTTCGAAAATTCCTCTAGATATCGACGAGCGGATTTCAAAAATTAATCAAAAAGGGAGATCTTAAGAAACTGTATCAATTTTGTTGCATTTGCTTGATGCCAGTTTTCAAAGAAAATTTTTTAACTTTGATCACCGTTTTTGTCTCGGTTATGTTAGGGCAATAAATTTCGAAAATTATTTTTAGAAAAATTGATTTTTTAATGGCAAGCAAATATCAGGCCATATCCAGAAGGTTTTCCTTAACACAGCCTGGAAATTTACATGTATTCTCGTAATTCGGACTTTGAAGAGAAACTTTTGAACTTTGACGAAAACAAAATTTTTTTGAGCATTGTTGAACTTCAAGCTTTCCACGTAATATTTTCGAAAACCCGGTGCAACGGTTTTAGGGGGCGCATCTTGTAAATTTTCAGATTTTTTACGTTCGAATTCGACTTAAATCATAAAACTTCCTAATATTCCCTTCTGTTAATATAATTCGAAGTATACCACTTTTGTAAGTAAACTGTCACGACTATTTGCTTCCCCACTGAAACCTGGAAGAAAAACTGCCAAAAATTAAAGTTTACTAAAAAATTAAACTCAGTCAATATAATTCGAAACTCTTGTTTCAGGTCAGAAGCTTTTTGGATTCGCATACGACCATTAACGCAGGCGGAGTTTCCAGCACCTACCGCCATTCGAAAAGTGTTCCTTTTCGTTGGAAAAACGATCTAAACTATACCGAGATTCAGTCGATTGAGGCGCACTGCAAAGAAGCGATGCGTCTGTGGGGTTATGTTAGAACAGATAGCTCAAATTTAAAGGATTTTTATCCTTTAGCCACATATGATATTAAATAAATTCGATTAGAATGCCCCCACATTGCGAGTGCAATTGTTGGGTGCTTAGAATGTTAAGCCGCGTACGAATCTGAGCAAAACAACCCGAAAAAACCAAATATGTCAAGACGAATGGCAAATTCCGATTGCAGGGTGTTCAGAATCCCCAATACAGACTTTTAGGTATTCTTGACGAGCCAAAATGGGAAAACTGTTGATGATGAACTCAGGGCAGAAACATGGTTGAAATTGCGAATGCTGAATGATATCATTTTTGCAAAAATAGAACAGAGTCATAAGATAGGCACGCGGTGTTTGCTCATTCAAAAGGAATCTGCAAAGTGGTGAATGGAAAAGCTGTTCATTATTAGTCAACATTTTCAAATCGGCAGTTCAAATTAATAAATAAACGTCGTAAATGTGAAAATTTGACTTTAAGTCATTGTTTTTTAAACGGATTATGATAAGCGTCAAAAATTATAAATAGCGACAAATCACAGTAGCCTTAAAATGGCAGCCATGAATGTCTATGTCAAATACCCCGTATTTGATATTGATTGATACATAATGTCAAATACTGCGCAAATACTTTGGCATAACGTCAAATAAAAAGGGCAAGCTACTAAAAGCAAATTGAGCACAACATTGAAGTGATGCAACTGAATTTATCTACCAAGAGAAAATACCTTCTACTCTAAAAAAAAGTATAAATATTGTCCATACAAAGTTTGGGCGGTGCAAAAATTATATTCAAAAAATTTCTATTTTACCACTGCGGAGATTTTTTATGATTTTAAATATTTAAAAAAATATTTTAGTTTTCTATGGATTTCAATTTAATCACTACTAATGTGAAAACAATTTTTTAAATGAAAATTTTCACATGTGGATTGGACGAGCTGGCCTGATCGACTGGCCTCCTCATCGCCCCGACTTGATGTCTCTCGATTCTTTCTTTGGGGTTATTTAAAGCATATTGAATGACATTCCAATTAGATTAGTGAATGCAGTTAACAATATTAATATGAATCATAAGTAATCACTTAGTATTTATTACTTTTTAAATTTTACATAATATAGTACATATTTACATATTTCTGAAACAATAGCAGTTTTCAATATAAGGAAGAAATCGGGTGTCAGCAGTATTCATTTCATATTTACTTTTTTATACTCGTTTAGGTGAGTGCTATTTTCCACATTATTGCCTTGTT